CTCCCCATGCCGGTCTCTCGGCCCACACAGCGACTTTTTGGGCGGCATCTGACTCTGAGAGCCCTTACGACGGCCTCTGTGGGCCACATTATTGGCTCCAGGACCCCTCACGACATCCTTTGAGGGCTCCCACGTTGGCTCCACGGGCCGCGCTGGCATCTGAGGTCCCCACGATGGGCTCGAGGGCCCTCAAGCATCATGAAGACCTATAAGGGCCCCACAGTGGTCTCCGAACGCCACCACGGAGGCTTGTTTGGCCGCGCTGGACTATGATGGCCCTAACGATGACCTCTGAAGCCCCGTACGACTACTTTTGAGGGCCCTTACGATGACGTTTGGTGTCTACTGCAGGCCCGAAGGGACTACTGATTCGTTCAGGCGATTCACGTGCCCATTTATGTCACTTATAGTGCAGGGGGCATCTTACCCAACGCCAGGGGGCGTCTTTCCCACCCTGTGGGGTAAGATGCCCCCTTTCACTTCTTCAGGAAAATGCTTAATAGCAAAAAAAAAGTTATCATATTTCAAGCACGAAAGTGTGGTATTTTTGGAGAAAAATGTTGTCGGCTTCCGTTGAAACTACAAGTTTTTGCTTTCCGATCGTCATTTTCGAATAATATATGACATAGTAAAACCCTGGGCATCTTTCCCCACTCTCCCCTAATTCTTGATTACCTCTGTCGTTGCTTACATGGTGAAAAATATGCTGTCTAAAATGGACCTTTCGGGCACTTCACTGATCACATCCAATGTATCACATCTGATGCCTTGTGTGAACCCATTACACCATTTATACGGTGTAAACCTGGCTATGTTGCGTGTATGAGTGTAATCCCCAGTATCGAGCTCACTGTTCACCCCCTCTTCACGTGATCGTCTCACACCTGTGCCCTCCCGTGTGAGGTTCCTGTGAACAGCACAGGACGGGACGCTCCGTTTGACATACGAGACCGACAGTTCCGTCATTTCGCTGATAAATGGTGATATCCGCGCACCGCCTATCGCCCGGGGTGTGTGTATTGACCTGTGGAGGTAAAAAGTGAGATAATCTGCCGCCGTTGGTGCCCTTTGCTATGGTTGAAGTCAGGTTTTGGGACGTGCCAGTCAGGTGATGAATGGAGTCATACACTCGAGTGATATACCGCGCTTGAAAGAAGTGATTATTATATTTTTTGAGATAGTGTTGGAACTTGGAATTATGATTCTGTCGTTTCTTTTCATGCCTGAGTTTTACGCAATATTCGTATTACCCAATACCCACCCAGGTCCTCAATAACCTCTTACTTGTACGCTTATATGGGTGAGAAGTGAGCGATACACTAAAAGTGTGTGGGTTAAATGCAGCGAGAGATTTGTGGCGAAAGCACACGAGCCAAGCCCATCTACCGGGCCACTCCCCGAGATGCCTATCTCGTGTTTTTCGACGCGTTTCGGCCGCCATGGCGTGCTGTTGGTTATTAGAAGCCGTGTTTCGTCACGTGCCCTTATTGGAGGTGCACCTCCCGGGTATGACAGGCGGTGGTTACGGACTGACAGCCCGTCAACGCCGCCCGTCAACGGTCGTCGAACGTCCGACATGGCTAGTGGCCGCGGCTCTGGTCAGAGGTGGTGGCTGGGTGTTTGCTCTTCACCTAGTGAGGATGGGATAGGCAATAAGTAGACTTGAGATGTTACCTGCTTCATGAACAAATATGATGGGACGTATAATGTAGGTGTCCGTACAACTGGTACAGACCTGTGCGCTGAGAAATCTTGGCTTGTTCCGGTCACCAAACATCGTACATCTCTGCTTTTACCACGTTTCTCAAGTCCAAATGTCATACAGGCATTTTTGGACTTGGGATTATCCGGAATTTCTCCAGCTTGGCGACCTTTTTGCCATACATCTCAGCTGTTCTCTAGACTGTCTGAGCCCGTTGTCTGAGCTCTCCAATCACACTGATCCCGTGAGTTGTCATTCGCCCACACAATGATCCAGCCGGCACTGTCATGCCGTATACTGCCGGTTGCCACACATCCCCCTTAGTCTGACCTACCGTTCCATCGGCCGGCAGCTAGCCGTGTCCGGGTGCTCGTCGTTTTTACAAGAGAACCGATGGCGACAAAGAAGCGATCAGTCATGACTGTGTCACTGTTACTGATTGCAAGAAGGTGGAATGCGTCCGGTGGTGCAACGACTCTGGAATATCGCTGCCAGTTGGGTCAGAAGTGGCATGTGATTTGGGTCTTATTGTTTGCGGTATTTTTTTTAAATCGGTAAATGTGTCTGCGGATTTCAAGACAGGAGATCGTGCCCCTTTATTCTGATGACTTGTGGTGGGTTATGATGAGTAACGATGAACCTTCCGTTGCTCATGCGCTCTGAGGGCGTTCACGGCGTACGATGATTTGCTGAAGCGCGCGTAACGTGACTATTTTGAAGGTGAAACTAATCTTCCGAATGAATTTTTGTAAGCCTGTGATCGGAACGCCTGGCAGGCGCTTGCGGCTTCTTACAAGTGTTTTATGCTCAAAGTCTGAATTCGGGAACAAAATTCCAAACACGATGGATCTGAACTTGCTATGCGCTCCTCGGAACCTGGGTGGGTCGCAAATTGAGCCGGAATCGAAGCTCTTGTGCTCGGGAGTTCGGCTTTGTCATGTGCTGGTTGTCTGCCATCCGTCGTGTGTTGGCAATCTGACCTGCGGCGGTAGTCTGACCTGTCTCAGCAGTCTGACCTCGTCGGACGGCGCGCGGTCCGCGGTCAGTCCGCTGTCGGTAGTCTGACCTGTCTGCAGTCTGACCTGTCTCTGCAGTCTGACCGCGTCTGACGGCGCTCGGCCCGCCGCGCCGTCAGTCCACTGTCTGAGCGGATCACCACCGACCGCGGCGCCGGCCCGCTCCTCGCCGGCACAAAAAGCCGTCCTGCCGACCGGACGTCGCCCCGCCGAGACTCGACGTCGTCACGGTGACTGTCCCCGCTCCGCTGCTGAGCTTTCGCGACGTCACAGGGGCAGGATCGGGGTCACGAACCGGGCCGGCTCGGCACGACTTTCGCGAGAGGCCGCCCTTGCCCCGCCCGCGCGCGGTGCACTCCCCTGGGGTCGCAGGTGGAGAGAGGCTTTACTGATGAGGATGAAGGAGATTGGTGCCGGTGGTGAGGGTTTGGGTGGAGCGGTTTTGGTATTTGTGGGGATTAGGTATGGGTGTCAGAGGTTTGTTTGCTTCGTTGCAGATGTCTTGTGCGCCTCGACCTCGTTTAGTCACCGATTGTGCTTGATGAAGCTGTAGCCGTGTACCTGTCTGCGTTCTCTCCGCACGTTTCTCGGACATTAGCTCTCCCGCAGCTCCGGCCGCGTCCGCCACCACCCTCGGACGTGACGGCCATCCGTCCTCGCCTGCACCGCCGTCCGATGACTTCATCTGCGCCTTTTTACGAGTATCTCATTAGCGGTGCGCGGTCGGCGGTTAGCGCCCCACTCGGCGGCGGCCCCTCGCCAGGTAGCACCCCGGTGCCGCCCCCGAAAAACGCCGCGCCGCCCGGGCCGGCCCGGTTTTTACCTGAGACACGCGCCTCCGACGCGCGTGCCGTACCGCCCCTTTGTAAACGGAGTGACCCGAGCACCTCATGTCGTGATAGAGGGCAGAAAAACGGAGTTTGTGGAACGGTTTTGTGGTTCATGGCTTTAGCAGCGATTAGGCGCTGTTGCCTGTTAGATACACGATTTATTAACATTTCTTCGGGCATTCGAGATGTGTCTGGTACGTTATTAAAGGGGTTAAAGTTGTGCTTTAGAACAGCAAAAACTTTCATTATTGATTAGGTGCTAGGCATCCATTTGAAGTTTTTTTTTTCTTGCTCACCCTTGATTGCGTCTGAGATTTTATGCCAACGATGTCGGTCAAAAGTGAATCATATGTAATTGCACGAGCAGCTTTTGCCTCTTGTCCACCTTTGTTGGTAGCTAATCCGCCGGCATTCCGCAGCCCGGTCTCTCCAGCGTTTTTCCCAGGAACTCGTGTGCCAGAAGCCAGCGAGCTTTTCCCACCTTTGAGGCACGCCGCTGCCGGCCTCTTCGGACGCTTCTTATGAGGAAGGCGGCGCCCCTTGCACGTCGGCTGAATGCGGGCGGCTGACAGCTCAATGGCGCCAGGAGAGACGGTAGACGTTGATTTCCAGGGGCTGGCTGGACATTCCAGAGACTCGGTGTGTCCGTCTCCTGTCGTGTATCGGGATCATACGGAGCTTCTTTACTGGGTAGTTGCGTCACTGTATGGTTCAGTGGTGCCTCGGACCGCCAATGACGGAAGTCCTATGTTGAAGACACGTTGATGCTGAAATACTACATGGAGGAATATACGATGCATTAATAAATAATCGTGATTCCGTGCGTGGTGCATCATGGTCCTGTATCGAGTTACCCAGAAATCACATACCAACTTTGTTCCAATTCATAATCCTCGTAAATCCTCTGCCCTGCTCAGTTCCGTCAGTGCGTGGAGCGTTTTGCGTTCGGTCGCCCCTCCCCGGCTCCGCCGCTCGGGCCGCGTCGTTTGTCGTCCCGTCTTTCGACGCTCGTCGTTGTCGACGTTTGCGGAGCGCCGGTATGCGCCGCCCGTCTGACAGGTACATAAAAGTGCCGTCGTGCGTGGCTTCTCGGATCACCGGGCCGGCAGGACGCGCTGACGGGACTGGGCCAGTGTGGCAGTGTTTGTTGTGATGGTGAGGTCAGGGATGTGTGCGATACTCCCAAAGAAGAACGATTTATTGCATATGTACCGGTGTAAAGCTGAATACGCCCCATACTTCGTTATGTGTGTCCGAACCGTGTCATTGTCCGTCTCCTGCCATAATGTCATTCAGAGTGTGCGTTTGGCTAAGAACTGACGTAGTCGCTTCCTCTTCCACCAATGCCCTGTGATAAGTTTACTATCAGGGGTGATCATTCCCGTTTTTCTCTTTCCAGTCCCCCGCGAGGAGTGTATCAGAGGTGACCATTCCCTCTCGTCTTTTCCTCAGCCCCCTGTGAGGAGTGTATCCAGAGCCGGCGAACGGAGGAGCAGCAGCGGCAGCTTCAGTACGCCTCCACCAAGATCTTCATCAGGAAGGTGGACAGTCTCGAGGACGAGATGGAGGAACTGGTGAGTTGAGTTTGCTGCATCAAGGTTCTTGGGATGACAAGAACGAAGTTTATTTATCCGTCCCACTCACTAGCTACATCGGTCCACGACGTTTGATTATGGCCCTATATAAAGGCTGTATATTATAATGTTCTCCTAATCAAGACGTTGTGAACAATGGAACCCCACTTTTTAGCATGCTCATTGTATCGAGCCACTCTTTGTGCTTGCTCGTTCATTATCAAAATTTGGAGACCGTTTCAGCTGTATTTGTCAACAGTTGTTATTCTAGCATAGTCATGCATCATCCCCTGCGCTCTCCCAACCCCACCCTCGCTGTTCCTGCAGGCGTCGAAGCGTCCCCGTCTGGAGGGCGCGCCTGAGCCGGTCCGCCGCAGCAGTCGACCCCGGCGGGCACCCGGCTCCAAACCGCTCAGTGTCGCCTCGACAGATACCCTGCGGGACCTCAAAGTACAAGTGAGTGGGCGAGCGAGCCGGGACGATCGGGGATTGCTTTTACTGGTGAACTGAGCTGTTACTAGGGCAGTGTAAGAAGCAGAGCGTCTTTAGCGTTATGTGGAATAATATTTCTGTGGGTATTACCATCGGGCAGACAGGTTTTTAGGCGTGGATTCTCGAAGCCAGACTAGCTTGTTTGTAACGGCCATTCAAATCAATTTCTACAAATAAACCGCCATTCTACTAGGTGCCGCTATATTGTACGTAAAACCTGAAACAAACAATAGTATCAACAAAAAATAATACACATGGATACACGAACAACACAAAAACCAATCATTTCAAAGCATTGCATACATTAATCAATTATCAATGGACAATAATCTTACTTTTGTGGGATCTGACGTCCCAGTATCACAATCGTATGTGTCAATGGCCACGCTTCACCGCGTGCCACGCCCTGTTCAAGGTTCTATTAATTGGAGGCGGCAAATTGGGGAAAAGAAAACATCGCTGCCCAATGACCTCTGGGCGGCGGTTACACTCCCACCAATCGGTCACGATTCTATAACAAGACAGTCCACATTTGCGCAACACGACCGCGGAGCGCAACCATCCTGCGCCACACGACCGACGACGGTAAAGATGGTGGCAAACTGAAATCATCTTACGTCACGGGAGTTGCCCGTCGTCCATCACTAAGCGACACTCGGCAGCCGCTCACGATACGTAGCGCCAACACATACTAGTCAGCTCACTCGTCAGCTGACGTGCCACTCTCCTCAGTTCACAACGCACTAACAACCACCACACTGTCGGTGGCTGTTAACTGTTTATGTCGCACGCTCTGAGACACTGCATGACTGTATGTCTCAGTTAAACCTTCAACGTCTGAGCCACTGTCATTAAATGAGCCACTGTCGTCACTGGCAGAGCCACAGACAGCCCCACGCGCAACGCTCAGGGTCGCAGCAGTAGTCTAGGCTACGCAGCACTCCAGGCAACGCAGCAGCTTCACAGTTCAGCCTGACAGCTGCGCACAGTTCAGCCCCCACTGAGCGCCGTCGATGGCTGCAGCCGCCAACTCTGCTCAAGCACCGCCGAAGCCACCACCAGCGCGCGGCCCGGCCCCGCAGAACGCCGCCGGAGCCACCAGCAGCGCGCGGCCCACCGAAGTCGGCGCCTACGGGAGGAGCCGCACCAGCTTCTGTATCGGTCGATCATATGTTCCGTCTTTCGTGCGTACGGCGACCCGCCGGACGAATCCGTCGTCGGACGGATGAAGCCGCGTGACGCGCCCCAGCATCCACTTGCAGCGGGGAGAGTTGTCGTCGACAACGAGCACGACGCTGTCTAGTTCGATGTTCTCGTGCGCTGTCGCCCATTTCCTCCTTTCCTGGAGACTCGGGAGGAACTCGGAGCGCCATCGTTGCCAGAACCGGTTTGCCAGGTACTGGACGCGTCGCCAGCGACGGCGGCAGTAGACGTCAGTCCTCTGAAAGGCACCAGGCGGCGAAAGCACTACATTACATTTCTGTGTTAGTAGAGTCATGGGTGAGATTGGGTGGGGTTCATCGGGAGTCATGTTGAAGGATGTGAGGGGCCTGCTATTAACAATAGCTTCCACTTCGCAGAGCAGCGTTCGCAGGAGCTCGTCATCCAGCCGAGCCCCGTGACATTCCTGAACGAGACCGCCCAAGACAGCCCGAGCGGAGCGAATCATGCGCTCCCAGACGCCTCCTGCGTGGCTGGCTGTTGGGACATTCATCCGAAAGATGACCCAGTCGCAGTTCTCCTTCACCAGCTCTCTGCGTATCCTGTCGTCGTCCATCTCGTCCAAAGCCTGCTCTAAGGCTCTCTTCCCGCCCACGAAGTTTGTGCCTCTGTCACTTCGCAGCACCCTCACCGGGCCTCTTCGGCTCACAAACCGTCTGTAGGCGTTAAGAAAAGAGTCCGTCGACAGTGAGTTTGCCGTCTCGATATGCACTGCCCGAGACGACATGCACGTGAAGAGAACGCCCCACCTTTTCACTTCACTCCGTCGCTCCTGTACCAGGAATGGACCAAACAAGTCCACGCCTGAATAGGTGAAAGGCGCCGCAGGTTCCAGTCTGTCATGCGGCAGGTCGGCCATCTTCTGATTCAGAACGTGGCCACGGAGCTTCTTGCAGTTGACACACTTCAGAATCAGGCGTGCCACCGATCGTCTCCCTCCGACGACCCAGTAGCCAGATGACCTCAGTCGAGCGAGAGTGAGACCTCGCCCAGCATGTCCGACTTTCTCATGGCACTCCTTGACGATCAGATACGTCACATGGCTTCGGTTGGGGATGATAACAGGGTGCACCTCACTCTCTGGAAAACCGCTCCTGCGAAGCCTCCCACCAACACAGATCAACCCGTCTCGCACAACTGGATCGAGACGAGACAACTCCTTGGGAACCGTGGCGGTCCGCCGGCCGGCTCCCACCGTCCTTGCCTGTCCCGATCGTCCAGCGCGGTCGACTTCACCTGGCAGCTCCTGTCGCTGCAATGCTGTCAGAATGATCCTCTCTGCTTCTTCCAGTTCTTCTACTCCGACTTGCGTTTTGGGAACATCTCGTGACTGCACGGCACTCCTCTTCATCATCACGAGGTGGTGAAGTTTCCTCACGTACAGGACGCACGTCGCTACTGCTCGCTTGGCTCGCCACCAGCTAGAGAAGCACTCGAGCCTCTTCGGAATTCCAGCGAACTCCTCCCGCGCTGTTGTGGCGAAGCTGAAAGCAGAGCGTGACTTCACCTCAGGATCTTCGTCTCCAACCTCCCGTGGTCCCTCGCCCTCCGGCAGGACCGCACGGGACAGGAAGGCAGGTCCGTGCCACCACAAGGCACTGTCCACCAGTTCCTCGGCTCTGATGCCTCGGGAGGCAAGATCGGCTGGATTCTCCTCACTTGTCACGTGCCTCCACTGACTTGGCTCAGTATGGTTGCGAATTTCCTGAACTCGATTCGCGACATAAACGTGAAAACGTCTCGCTTCGTTCGAAATATAGCCTAACACCACCTTACTGTCTGTCCAGTAGAACTCTTGTAGGTGCTCCAGCTTCAGTTCGTCCTGGAGGAACTTGCTCATCCTCACAGAGAGTACGGCAGCGGTCAACTCGAGCCTTGGCACCGTAACCGGCTTGGTTGGTGCCACACGAGCCTTGCTGATGATCAGTGAACAGTTGACCAGTCCATTTTGGTCAACCGTCCTCACGTAACTGCACTGCCCGTAGCCCACAGCGCTGGCGTCGGAGAAATGATGCAGCTCTACAGTCATCTTGTCCTGCAGCCCACCTTCCACATAGCATCGTGGAACACTCACAATCTTCAGAGCCAACATACTCTCCATCCACTCCTTCCATGCGTCAGCCACATCGCTGGGCACGGGATCGTCCCATCCGCAGCCCTCACGACACAGCTCCCTCAGTAGCAATTTCCCTCTCAAGATGAAAGGAGACACCAGGCCCAGTGGGTCAAAAAACGAACTTACTACTGATAGTATTCCTCTTCTGGTCACTTCTCTGACTCTCGGCGTGACGTGGATGGATAACATGTCGGTGTCCGTGTCCCAGTCGATTCCCAGAGTCCGCTCAACGGGAAGATCACCGGAACCGACATCTAGACTCCGAAGTCCAGCGCAGCGACTCTCCATCGGCACCGACTTCACGACATCAATGCTGTTCGAGAGGATCTTGTGAACAGTGAAGCCTCCACGTGCGCAGAGCTTTCTGGTCGTGTCAATCAGTTTGACCGCTGTCTCGGCGTCTGGTACAGAGATGAGACCGTCGTCAATATAGAAATCACCTTTCATAAAGTCGGCGGCCTCTCTTTCAGTGTCACCTCGCTGACAATCAGCAGCAGCTCTGAGTGCAAACATTGCACACGCGGGTGACGAGGTGGCACCGAATAGGTGAGTCTTCATGCGGTACTCAGTTGGGTCTCTTTTCAAGTCGCCATCCTCCCACCACAGGAACCTGAGCAAGTTGCGATCCCTGACGTCGACTCCCACTTGGTTGAACATCGCCTCCAAGTCGCAGGAAACCGCCACAGGCTCCTTACGGAATCGGCACAGGATTCCGGTGAGGCTGTTTGTGAGGTCCGGTCCCTGTAAGAGGTGGCTGTTTAGCACGTGACCCCGAAACTCTGCACTGCAGTCAAATACGATTCGAATCTTGTTCTTTTGTGGGTGGTACACCCCGTGATGCGGAATGTACCAAACCCTGCCATCATCCAGCTCCAGTTCTTCACTGGGGACTTTCTCTGCGTAGCCCTTCTCTAACGTCGCCGCCATGAAGCCGGTGTAGTCGTGTCTGTAGGCCTCGTTTCTCACCAGCTTCGCCTTCAGTCCTTTGAGTCTTTGGATGGCGACTGTCTTGTTGTTTGGCATGGACACTTTGTCATTCTTCAGTGGCAGCGGCATCTGAAAATGGCCATCCTCGCGGTGCTCGAGTCCCTCACTCATCTTCTTCACAAACTGTTGATCCTGGATCGATAAAGCTGTCTTATCCTCTCGGCCAGTCTCCTGGAAGTCGGATTCGAGCACCTTCAGCACCTCCAGTGGGCTCACCTCGCGCACCTGTGATCTGAATGCGAAATGACAACGTTTGGGGTGTCCATCGCTAGTGTCCACCAGATGACACGTCGCGTCCGGGTCGTTGCTCCCACCGAGACAGCCAACGATGCCCCACCCCAGGTGGGTTCGGATCGCCCAGGGCTCGTCGTCCTTACCAGAAACCACGTCCAGTGGCTTGATGGCGCGTGAACAGTTGGTCCCCAAAAGCAGAGCCACTGGTGCGCCAGGGAAGAACTCCGGCATTTTACTGGCTACTCTCTCCAGATGCTTCCACTTCATGGCTGTCTCCCTTTTAGGAACGACCTTCTTGGAGCATGGGATTTCAGGACGAGTGTAGGTTGATAGCAGTCTGATGGCTTCATCTGCTGTTAGGGGCTGGATCACCAGACCCTGTACCGCTCGGCTGCTGATGACCGACTTCCCCGTCATAGTGCTCAGCTCCAGTTTCGTGGCTCTTCCGTCGACTTTCAGGGCTTCACAAACAGGCTCTGAAGCAAAACAGGCATCAGACTGAGCGTCCAGTACAGCATACACCAGCACGCTGTGTTCCGGGTTGTCAACATGGCTCAGTAGCACTGGCACCACCAGTGAGTGACAGCAGCCTCCTCCTTCAGCATCTGACACAGAGCCCGAGCAGAATGAAGTCGCCTGCGGTGCCGCGTGGGACGTCCTCCGTTGGCCTTCAGGCTGAACCTCAGCTTTCTTGAGAAGTGACTCATCATGCAGAATCGTAGGGTGCCACCTGCCACATTCATCACACTTGCATCTTGAGCGGCATTCCCTCCACCTGTGTCCTCTTCTTAAGCAGCCTCGACACAGTCCCAGCTCGTTGACCTTGCTGTTCCGTTCAGTTCCAGTCATCCTTTTGAAGGTGTCGCAGTCGCTGATCTTGTGCTGGTGTTGACACAGTTCGCATGTTGAAGGCTTCCTTGTGTCCACTTGAGTTCCTCCATTGGCCCTCTTCACACCCGTTGTGGACATGAAAGTCCTGGCCTTACTCTGTGTCTTCTGTGGGGCTTGCCGCGTTTCTTCACACTTGGGTACATCCACTGGTCCGCAAGCAATCCTGGCTTCGATGCCGACAAAACGGACAAACTCTGAGAACGGTGGATGTCTCCTTTTAGCAACGCCCTTTTCATCGTAGAGCCACTTGTCCACCTCCCTCTTCCATCTGTCCACCAGGTACTTGGGCAGCTTCTTCACCATCATCTGAATTTCCAGGTAGTCATCCAGGATTCCTAGGTGGCGAAGAGGACCCGCAGCTGCCGCTTGGCAGTGCTCGAGGAAATCAGCATAGTCTCTGAGAGCACGACCATCTTCATTTTTGATTGCGGGCCAGCTCCTCAACTTCATGCGATACGTGTTGGATATGATGAAGTCGTTTCCGAACCTGTCATTCAGTCTCGCCTTCGCCTGCGAGTAAGCCTCATCTGTCCTCAGGTGGAGCAGGCCCAGGATGGCTGTCTTGGCTTCACCCGCTGTGTACTTTCCTAGAAAGTGAAGGCGTTCGATGGGAGAGGATGTCTGATGTTCAATATAGGTTTCAAAAGACTTCAGCCACATTGGAAACTCCTCAATGTTGCCACTGAAGGTGCCTGGTTCCAGCACGGGAAGCCTACTACCATTGTGTCGCTCAGTAAGCAGATCTGCCAGTCTGTGTAGTGCTGCTTGAGTGCTGGGTTCATCATCCTCCACTCGACCATTGGCTGTCTTGTCGTCTCTTCCTGTACCTTGGACATTATCCTTCACTTGGACTGCAGCATCAATGGAGACATCATTTCTTGGTACTGCTCCAGTTCCAGTGACCACTTCAGTATTCTCCTCCTTTGCACCAGGTCCAACTTCATCACTTGGGTCTTGACTTGCTCCCTCCTCCCTGTCAACATCAAACTGGTCAACCACCCTCAGCTTGGCTTCATTTATGTTCCTTTCTGTTTCTATATCCAGTTGTTCTTGCTCCAGCAGCAGCTGTTCTTGTTTTTGCTTCAGATGCAGCCTTCTTCTACTCATTGCAGCTCTTGCTTCCAGCTCTGCTCTGTCCTGCTGCATCTTGAGCTTCATGAGCACAACTTGTGCCTTTACTTCGCTGCCTGCACATGACTTGCTTGAACGTGATCCACCAGCGTCAGATCTTGCAGGAGTAGCATCATCTGCGGAGACTGAAGACAGGTGAGCCTCCACCTTGCCTTTCAGCTCATTCACTTCAGTGAGGTTCTTGTCATGATCCAGGTTTTCTCTCTCTTCACCTTCCATCAGGGAGCATATCACTTCATATGTTTGCACAAAATCAACATAATCATGCTTCCAGACATCAAAGTCCTTCCTGATCACTTGTGGCTTTTCTTCCTGCTCAACAGACTCCAACAGTAAGCTGCCACGTGATCTCAGCTTCTTCAAGAACTGCTTGTACAGCTTTGACTTCTGAGCAGCCTGGTAGCATCTACCTTTCTCAGTTGTCCGCAGCTCCCTGCCCTTCGCAGACAACATCCTCTGTTCGTCACTCATTGTGGACCAGGCAAGGAATTGCTCAAGAAAAGATGGCACAGGATTTAGTTTCACTACTTAAATAAATGCAAGAGGTGCAAATAATAGTTTAAATACTGCAATAACAAAACAAAAATGAAGCACAAAAAAAATGTGACCCAAAACCAGTGTTAAGACGTCAAGGTCAGACGTCCAGGTGCTGAGGCCAAAACTCAAGGTCAGAGTGACAAATACAGGTGTGTCTAGCTACAAACACCTCTACTAGTCAACCATCATGCGTGATACGACAGGGGGAATCCTACTAACAACCCTGCGTAACTACTGACTGCCCCAGAATCTACAACCAGTTGATATTCATTCAGTGCAACTGAAAATGTTAAAAGAAGAAAATAAAGACAATCTTTCAACTACAAAGTCTCTCAAAATCAGGACTAGATCCAAAAAGTTTTACTGTAACGGCCATTCAAATCAATTTCTACAAATAAACCGCCATTCTACTAGGTGCCGCTATATTGTACGTAAAACCTGAAACAAACAATAGTATCAACAAAAAATAATACACATGGATACACGAACAACACAAAAACCAATCATTTCAAAGCATTGCATACATTAATCAATTATCAATGGACAATAATCTTACTTTTGTGGGATCTGACGTCCCAGTATCACAATCGTATGTGTCAATGGCCACGCTTCACCGCGTGCCACGCCCTGTTCAAGGTTCTATTAATTGGAGGCGGCAAATTGGGGAAAAGAAAACATCGCTGCCCAATGACCTCTGGGCGGCGGTTACATTGTTATTGCATTGCTATTTTACTGTTCGATGATGCCAAGCGACAGTGATTACGGAGCGAGCGAAGCGAGCGGAGTCTTTCCTTAGATTAACGGAAATTTCTGAGTATGAGCGGCCGGCCGGCCGTGCGGACGCTTTTGCGAGGCTTATATCTCAGCAACCACTTGACCGATTTACACGCGGTAATTTTTGTAGGGTAGCTTTATTCCTTCTACCAAGTATTGGACTATTCCCGATGCATGTGGGTGACCCTTTATGCACGTGCCACGTGCAAAACGAAGAGGTGTCAGTTTTGTAATTGTTGCAATATCTCGGTAACTACTTGGCCGATTTCGCTGAAAGTTGGCATGTAGGTAGGCACCCACTAGGCACTGCATATCCATGTGCCAGAGTTGGGGTGCTGCTGCACGTGCGCACGTGCAGGGGTCGTTTCCAGATCTCGAGAACGGCTGGACCGATGGCGCTCAAATTTGGTACACGGTTAGGGACCAGTTAGTAGGGTGCCGTGCACAAGTCAGTTGGGACCCATTTTGCACGTGCGCACGTGCAGGGTGTCGCTCCCAGATCTCGAGAACGGCTGGGCCGATTGTGCTCAAATTTGGCACATCGCTAGAAACCGGTCAGTAGGGTGCCGTGCACAAGTCAGTTGGAGGTACCCCCTCGAAATTTCGCACGTGCAAGACTCACCCCCTCGCTCGCTCCGTTAGTCGCCCCAAAAGGCGTTATACTGGTTATTACGGAGCGAGCGAAGCGAGCGGAGTCTTTCCTTAGATTAACGGAAATTTCTGAGTATGAGCGGCCGGCCGGCCGGCCGGCCGGCCGTGCGGACGCTTTTGCGAGGCTTGTATCTCAGCAACCACTCGACCGATTTACACGGGGTAATTTTTGTAGGGTAGCTTCATTCCTTCTACCACGTATTGGACTATTCCCGATGCATGTGGGTGACCCCTTATGCACGTGCCACGCGCAAAACGAAGAGGTGTCAGTTTTGCAATTGTTGCAATATCTCGGTAACTACTTGGCCGATTGCGCTGAAAGTTGGCATGTAGGTAGGCATCCACTAGGCACTGCATATCCATGTGCCAGAGTTGGGGTGCTGCTGCACGTGCGCACGTGCAGGGGTCGTTTCCAGATCTCGAGAACGGCTGGACCGATGGCGCTCAAATTTGGTACACGGTTAGGGACCAGTTAGTAGGGTGCCGTGCACAAGTCAGTTGGGACTCATTCTGCACGTGCGCACGTGCAGGGTGCCGCTTCCAGATCTCGAGAACGGCTGGGCCGATTGTGCTCAAATTTGGCACATCGCTAGAGACCGGTTAGTAGGGTGCCGTGCACAAGTCAGTTGGAGGTACCCCCTCGAAATTTCGCACGTGCAAGACTCACCCCCTCGCTCGCTCCGTTAGTCGCCCCAAAAGGCGCTATACTGGTACTAATTGTCGTTGTTCCCTGAATGCCTGCTATCAGGTACTGTGGCATCATTTTAGGTCGTCGTCGAGGTCGTATAATGCAATGGCCGTGCAATGTAATGTAATGTTGCGTCGTCTAATGGCCGGTGTTGCTATTGGCAGATAATGAAGGCGTTCAAGGTGGCTCCGTATGACCAGCACCTGATGTTTAACGGCGTGCCCCTGCTGGACGGCCTGTCGACGCTGGGGCACCTGGGCATCGTCCCCGGATCCACGCTGCTGCTCAAGGTGGGGACAATGACGGCACGTGACGACTGACGATACGTCTTATTTATTAGTGACGGCATGATGGTGTTAGTTTGAAATTGCTTTCTCCAGGTCGCCATTTATTGAACAAACAAACAAAAAAGAAACATTTAGATTGGGTAAAATGCTGAAATTCATCGGTTAACGAAAAGTATTGTTCGATCATGAATAATGGGAGCGATGTGCAAATCAAACTGCAATTATCAACACTCAATATCTGTCGTAAGCTACGCTAGTATCCATATTTCCCTTATCACACCATCCTCTCCCTGTTTAAATCTCCCCGGTTCGTCCGTCCGGCCGCGGCTGTGGTCGATGTCGTTGATATGATTCACCCCCCCCCCCCCCTCCGCCGGGAGGGGGGAGGGGCTCATCCTCTGGTGATCCATCAGCCGGCAACTGGCGAAGACGAGGCGAACCGCCCCCTCTTATACGGTGGCGTCGCGCTTCAGACAGACACCCCTCCCCGGGCTGGGTCGGCTCACAGGCCCACAGAAGCGGTACAATCAATAAAGCGGCTTGTCAACGCGACTTTCATTCAGGCTGCGCCGGTGATAAATGTTGCGATCGGTGGCGCTGTGTCTCCGCCGGGTGGCATCTCTGCACGCCGTGTCCCCTTCTACTGGTTTGAGAGGGCTCCCAGGATGACGTTTATGCTCGTTAGGTCATTCTGGGTTTAAGTCTTAGAAGGTTAAATTGCGATGTTTGTGAATGATTGTTTTGGTGTATTGAGTGTCTGTAGTTAGTCGAGATACTGCAGGCAAATGATGTTATTTGGTTAGCATTTTGCCGAATTAGGCCTGATTATGTGAAGGGCACGGTGAAAACCTGTTATCTATCCCTCTTTAGATCTCTTGTTATACATTGTTGGTGGTTGGGATTTAGGCTATCGACCCTCCGTAGTATTGACATTGTTAGGTCATCATTTTCTGCCTGATCCCATGTGTTCAAAGCTGAAGCCAAGACTGTTCATGGCTCCTGGAATTGTTCGACATTATTCGGTCAAACGCTTGCATGCAGCAGTGGTCTTCGACTCGTTGTTTATCAAACACCGTTTATCCCGATCTTTTTAACGTTGTCTGACTATCTCTCTTGTTCAAACATCCACCAGTTTCGTGATTCCATTCCACATAAACTCTGATCGTCTCATTTTTCTTGCAAATAGGTCGGCGCGCGGTGACGGCGCATTTTGTCGGCCACGGGCGCGGCTCGGACCGACTGATGTGTTTATGTAATGGACCGTGGCCGGCAGATAGCGGCGGTGGTTCCTGTGTGTGAACCCTGAGCTCTGTTCGGCAGGGGATGGATGCGGCCGCGGGCGGGAGTTGAGAAGGGAGGGGGAGGACAGTGTCTTCTGTCGGTGCTGATCAAGAGAGGGCGGTATTATTGAAGGGGTTGTGGTGTTGTGGTCCGGAGAGCTTAGTTGTGCCAGTCAACTGGACATGTTTTTGTGCTTCGAGACACGTGTCTTGATTACTTTGTGGGTAAAAGAGGGCCGGCGTTTTTGCTCACGAAACCCTCCCATGTGACCTAAAGCCATGCTGGCTGCTTGTAAGCAAGTTCTGGCGACAACAGACCCGACCTCATCGAACATGGCCCGAATCAACCCAGGCTCGTAGGTGACCTAGGCGTCCGAATCAGTCGATCTCACCTGATCTGGCCTAACCTTACCTGACCTGACCTGCGCTGACCTGACCTGACCTGTGCCCTCAGGTGGACGAGGCGTCTGAGTCGGTCGACCTGACCTCCTCAGAGGACCTCACGGCCGCTGCGAACCCCGAGATGGGCTTCAAAGGTCAGTCAAAACGTGAACCTCAACCCTCGTCATCAGATTGCTAATCGTAAAATTGCAACCAGCTCACCTTTGGAAAATGCGAGGCCTTCTCCGCAACACTTTATAACAATGTATACTTATTTCTCTAAGTGGTTTTCCGAGATGAAATCATGCACCACTGGCCACTTGGGCGGCTTCTGTCCCGTCTTTAAACGACTCTTGACATTTATCTCGGGCAAAAAGTCTTCCGTTGAGTGGTCCGGTTTTAGAGGCAGGTTGAGTGGCCTGCCGGCTGCCGAGAAGCCTGTGTCCGGGATCGGTAGCTGACTGGTCGGCAGAAACGCCGACCAGAAACGAATGGTATTCACCCGGGTAAAAGTGGGAGAATTGATACGGAATTTACACACTTGGGGTCGTGACATTGTCGACGACTTTGAAGTTGATGAAACCTGGGTGTGGTGCCGTTTTGATTGTGGTGTCATGCGTTCTTGTTCGTTTTGCTTATGCCAGATGATAAGTTGGGGAGTTACAAAGCTCTTAATTATAGCGTTTTTCTGCTTTTCGATGGTGACAAGTGTCGCTCCATTTGCCACAGGAACTGGTCTTGTGAGCTCGTGACATGAAGAGACACCGCTGTTTCCCGAAGACGTCTAGTATCGGGTCATGCCTAGACCAAGCCAAAGCAGTTCGGATATTCACTCGACTCTGCTCGTCCGACTTCGTCCACCATGATATTCGTCCGTCACAATGTTCGTCACTCAACACGGAGGCATTGACACCCCACTGCCTTCCCTGTCTGATGGTGATTTTCACTACGGAGACTCATGCTTACAAAACCTCCCTGTGATGATGACTGGGGTTTTGTGTGAGTGACAACTCTGGACGGACGCTACTGTAGCGTGACAAGAGAGACGCAGACACTGTAAAATGTGCTGTACTTGTGGAGGACAGTCGCCAAAGGCCGCATGTGACGATCTCTCTACCGAAGTGCCGGGCCGTGGTTGGCTGTATTTCTGTTTGTATGTATGTGTGCACTGCTCAGCCGGGGTATGTAAGGCCGCCACGCGAATGGTCGTACCAGACTGTGTGTCTCTGAGTACTGTGTACCATTGTACTGCGTACCCTTGGTACTGTGTACCGCTGCCTGCGGTACTCAGTGCTCGGTACGGCCGCTGACAGTGTCCACAGCGGGACCCGTACCGTGTTGGTTTTGTTGATCGCGTTGGATTGAGGCCGCGGCGCTGTATATTGTGAGCTGTGTCCGCCGACTGGTGTGTAATAAACTGGTGCTGAGACGTGGATCGTAGGGTTTTTGCTGAGCGGTTTATGGCACGGGCTCGGCTGCAATTGAAGCGTGTTTTGGAAGCAGCCGTAGCGATAAAGACGAGTGTGAGAAAATGAAGAGAGAACTTGATCGACTGAGGGAAGGTGCGAAGGAAACTTGAGACGGATACTGCGCATTTATGCCAGTTGACGGTCAAAAGGATGGACCGCCTATCGATGTGAACACTTAATTGTTTGGCTTTGATTTATGCAATGTGCCCGCATGCTTCCGATCCGATGGTAGAAATTAGGTCCGTCGTAGCAATATCTGCTCTTCCATCGGCGCAATCCCGGCACTGGGTAACAAGCCATCGCAGCGTAACGCTCTTCCTCCCTATTATCGAATTCGTCGAAGCTCGTCACTACCGTGATATTGGCATTGAAGTGTGTGAATCAGTTTCACCGCTAGATCGCACGGGCTAGACCTGAGCATGCGTTATCACGTTTTCTGTGCCACGCAGGGCATTCCTGGCTGGTGTAACTGAGCCTTGATGCTATGAGGCTTCCTTTGTATGCCTCTTTTTGGGGGAATTCTGTCGGGCCGGATCCGTATCCAATGACTCGATTCGACCGATCTCTGTAGCCTCAGGTGGACTGATGGTTGCTCTCGAGTCACCCTGACACAATTGCCATTTCTTATGACAATTAAAGCCAGCTGGGTTCTCGGCGAGGAATTCGAGCAGACCGGTTTGACCCGACAGATTTTGAGTTACCCAGCTACTTTGAGCCAGCTAGACAGGGTTTGAGTTGGTCGGCGGTCGATAATGTCCTCGGGCAGCGGACCAAGGTCACTCAGGTCGACTAGCGGCCCGCACAGCCAGTCTTCCGTCCCGCCGCGGCCAGATGGTGGACCTTGTCAGATAAGCTAGGGACAACCTGCCGTTGCCACTTTTTTGTATCGATTATCCTTTTTCTTTAGAAGCCTGGATCCTGGTGTTCATTCCCGACCAATATGCATCTACACATCATCTCCGTTTTATCTAGTCTGTGTTTATTTCTTAGCTCACATTCTTCAACAGCGCCAATAGAACAGTGACCCACTGTGCCGCCCAGCGTCCCTCCGTGCCCGTCTCGCCCCTTCCGTCCCCTCCCTTCGGCCGTCGGAGCGGCTGCGTCGTGGACGACGCGGCGGCTGCGTCGAGCGCTGGCCGGTTCTCTGAAATCGGCGACGATTTCAAAGGAGAGGCGGCCGCGCCCGCGAGAGGCGGTCTACGAGGAACCGAGGTGGGTTTTTGGCGCGCCTTTTTGCGCGGGACGAGTCGCGGCCGCGATAGGAAGGGGGAGGGGTGGGGTGGGAAGGGGGTGCGGGTGTGAGAACTGGGGTGGACGGTAGCCGTGCCATGGGTAGTCAGGGAGACTGCGGTGCGGGGTGGGCGGGTAACACCAGCGCGGCTAGAGGTGTGCTGGGGAGAAATGCAGATTAGGCGGCACGGTGATGTCGGCTGTACGATTGTGTCTGTGCTCTATATTGATGAGGCTCGGTCCTTGGGTGTCTGTTGCCGCTGTTTGTAGTACCTATTCAAGCAAGAGTTCATTGTGTTGTACCGTAAAGGCAATAACAACTATACGCAATTAGAGGATGCATTTTTTTGTAAAATCTAACTCTTGCCTCATTTTGGTCTTTGGACTTCATCTAATACCTACCGACTTTGGATTTCATCTATTATCGACTGTAGGAATATGTATTCGAGTGCTGATAAGAATACTATGTTTTATGGCTTTACATCGGATTTGCCGTTATTGCTCTGTTCCGTAGTTCCGAGTTAATAAAGTATCCCTCTGATTTTTTTTTAATTTGAAAGCTGTCCAATCCAATGACTCTCAACTGATAGTTGATTTACACGTAGGTGCTTGGTTTGTTATCCAGTCTCAGTAACTCCGTTTTTTTACTCAATAATCAACTGTATCTCTGTTAACCCTCGCCCCGTTGGGGGGGGGGCCATTTTGGCCCCCCCCCCTGTGGTTTTTCCTGAATAGCAAGAAAACGGCGGCGCGCAGCGCCGCCAAATTTTCAGTACCTTCCCGGGCATCAATTTGACACCTTCACACCAAATTTCAAATCTCAGGTCACCTTAGGTCAGGAGTTATTGAGGTCAAACTGAGGTCATGTTCGAGCAAAAATGAGCAAAAAACATGCAATCTTGAAACGCTCACCAAATCTACAGTTATCAAGCAATTTCAAAGTTCTTTATATGGTCTAGTAGACAAAAAGCGGCGCTACAAAACTGCTATCTCGGATTTTCAAAATTTTTGGTTTTTGACCAAAAAAAATTCAAAAAATTGAAATTTTTAGAAAAACTTTGAAAAAATCCAAAAATTTTCCGAATTTCGAAAAAACCGGAATATATGTGATAGTTCCAGCGCTCTTCTATATACATACCAAATTTCAGATCGATATCTCGTTTTTTGGCCAAGTTATAGCGAAAAAACTGTTCAAAAATGATGACGTCAAATTTTTGAAGTCAATTTTTAGCAATTCTAGACCACGTACGGCAAAACAAAGACCACCATTGAACTCCCCGTGACGAGCTGCATCGATTCGATACCCATTTTATGCAAAAATATTAACTTTGAAATTTGACCTAATTTGACCTGACCTTGACCTGACCTTGACCTGACCTTGACCAAAACGTGATCTAAGCTGGCCCCAAAGGCTGCTTGACCCATATAATCGCATTTGTCATGCAAAATGGACCATAAAACATGTATCACACGACACTTTCATATTGTGACCCCCCGTGACCTGACCTCTGTGACCTGACCTGGTATCAGTGACCTCAAATAGCAAAATATGTGTTTGAAGAACAGTTCCCCATCGATGATTTTCAATGAAATGCATTTTACTCGATTTTACAACGCATTTCTTGAAGTGCCTGTCAACGGTGAAAATTGGACCTTTGACCTGACCTGTGACGTCATCGGTTTGACCTAGGTCAATAAAATTGGGTCACAAGGTAGTTCCCCGTTGGGGCTATCCAACGCCGTTTACCGCTTGTCGCTATGTTGCGTGGTTCTCGAGATCTTAGGGGGGGCCAAAATGGCCCCCCCCCCCAACCGGGCGCGTTGCTCGGCAGAGCCCAACGGGGCGCGGGTTAACTGTATCAACTGTAAACTGTATCTCTGATGCAGTTTACTGTGCAGTCGCTTGGACGTTGGCGTTCCTAAATGAGCTAGAGTTTTATTACATTTTTAATAATGTTTCCGTCTCAAAACTCGTACAATTTTATTACATAACTATCTCTTGCAGCTTCCTGGAAAGGGTCTCTTGCAAGTCCGTCGCGTCTCATCAAACGGACGCCTTCCGACGAGCCATCGAGCCCTGACCGGCATCTACGGGTGCCTCTGGAAGGCTCGCCCCGGCAACAAACCTTCCCGGACGAGCGGCAAGATTGCCTCATCTGATAGTGCCAGGACATCGTGTCACGGGAGACTGTGGACCAGACAGCTCGGATGACCGATCGGTCGTGGGTTTTATCGTTTGTGAAAGTTGGACATGCGTCGTGCCGCTGAGGACAACTCTAAGTGGGAACTGTGATCGACGGCTGAAGTTGGGTACGGTGAAAAAATTAAAGTTTTTGAAAATATATGTGCGTATACCGTTCACATTGAGTCGTATCTTATTTTGCGTGATGCTTTCTAGTGTTTCTGAATGATATTTGAGGACCTCTGAGTATTAATTTGTTACTCAAACGACGGCAAGATACAGTTACGCATCGTGAAGACGATTTTACAGACCGAGAAGACTATCTGCCCAATCAAAAAACAGCTTGGAAGAATCCGGAGAAATCGAGGGAATAACCAAAACCTTCCACATCACCTCAACGTACGTTTTGAACGCCAGCATCAAGCCGATCCTAGGCGCCGTTGGCTACCAAGCCAGCTCCAACGTCATCCCACCGGTCTTCATCCGATCTCTCATCTTGTACCGGTACACCACCCGCACCCGCCTGTACCGGCGTCATGTACCCGTGGTACCGGGAGAGTGTACAGCAATTTTCGTCTGGCATGCCGCCGGGACCGATCAAGACGGAGACGGGATGCTATAGCGATTGTATGCAGTTTCCAACCGAGTATAACCACAAACAGGTGAGCCAAACAGATGGGAATCATATAGGGGGGGGGGGGTAGCAGGGCTGTCTGCGAAAGTGTCGCTATGGTGGGGGTGGGGTTTGTTTTATTGAAAAGTGGGCGTTGGCTAAACGAGCGTTTCTCTCATTGTCTTTCTTTGAAAGGCATTACTGTGTTTAGGGCCTTGGGCATTACAATGTTATTGAGGTCGTCTGTTCTGTTGTGTGTCTGATGCAGATAATCATATTGCACTGTTTTATGGCATGTTGTTGATGAAACTTAGACCGAGCTTCCAGTGGATTATGAAAGCTAGGTATATTTCTGGTAATGAAATATCTGCCCGCAAAGTGAGATAAGTAATAACGAAATACCCACAAACATTTATCTGACGTTATCAGCTTCCGCGTTTTTCGCGTGAAGTACCTCAGTAGTCAGTTCACGCAGTATCCGATGGCATTCCGGTTCCTGTATCATACCAAGGCCGTTTGTATACGGGGTGCTCCTATCATACTTCAGTTGTATCAGGTGACGTGCGTTGAAGTCTAGTCTGGGTAGAGTGAGAGCCAGACAGATCAGGGAGAACTGTAGGATGTGAGCGGGCACTGGCGGATCCAGCTCAGAGTTTTGGGAGGGGCAAACCATAACAACATAGTGGTGCTTTCCATGCACTGTCTAATATAGGCGTAGTGTTAAAATTTTGCTGTTTGGGAGGGGCAATTGCCCTACTTGCCCTCCCCTGGATCCGCCACTGTGAGCGGGAACGTTTTCCAAATGCCAAACGCCCGTTATGTAATCTTATCAAAACATCGCATCTGGATACGAAACAAAAACTCATTGGCTCTGTTATATTTCCCTGAGAGCAGTTTGTACTTTTTGGTACTTACATACGCTTGGTACACATCGACACCTTTTTTTAAACCCCACATCTGCTCTCCCGTGAATTTCCGGGAGGCACGAAAGATCTCCTTTTAAAAGTGTCCAATCGTCCGATCCTGATCAAATATGTGTGTTCGTAGGCCTGTTCTGGTATTGCTTTATCTGCCAAGACAGACAAACTTGAGAAAAATCGAGTGATTGTACCTTTTTTGAAGGTCTCTAACCAACTTGTCTGAAATTCACCGGAGAACAAATGTGGGATTTAAAAAAAAAGTGTCGACATATCAAATGACACTTGGCAATGTTGTTAGTAGTCATTACAGTGGCTGACGTTTCCGCCAATCAGCAGCATGACATATAGCGATTCGCAAACAACACTCAGCCACGCACCACGCCACTTTCGTACATCCAACACAATCTTTCGCAACATCCATACAACATAAGGTAAATGCACTTGCACACCATTGTTTATTACCATCTCCTTATCATTCATTGCCCTGAGATATGCTAAATGACTAGAACGATCTGGTAGATGAGCGATCCCGTTCAGTTGCTGACTTCTAAATCTAGCATTTATCTTTTTTATTTTCCAAAGAAAGAATGTAAATTGAGATTCTGGATATCTGCGACACATCAGATATCCAGAAGTAAGTTGGCTGCATTCCCCAAATCCCTCAGTCATAGCTGGCCTGAGCTCACGCTCTGGAGCCGCTCTACGCCGCGCTGGTCACTAACTCTGCAGCCGTTCGCCGTCGCGATCTCCGCTGACTCCAGTTCGATGGTGTGTGCTCAGTAAGGCGACACCACCAACCCAACGCGACCGCTCACACACAGTCGACAGCGGTCTGCTTTCATTGGGCGGGCTCTGCCGGAGCGCAAACGGCGTGGGCTGGAGGCGGATGGGTCAGCGATCACTGCGATTTGTAGACAGGCGAAGACTCTAACGATTCGTCCATCCAGTGCATTCATCGCTACCCACTCTTCATTACCTGTGGCATACTGGTTCACCCATGCTCAAAGCTTATGACACCACTCCAACACACACCCATGACAATATTCCACGCTAACAATCCCTATGACATCACCACACTCATAAGTTTGGTGTCACTTAATTCACCACCCACACGCCAATGATACCAGTGAACCACCCACACTCAACCCACGCTTGTCGCCTAGTTATACAAGTATCGTCACCATTCAGTCAATCCAGGCTAATTAGGCCTTTCATCCGACCCGACGGGCGTTACCCAGATAGAAGTTGGGCGGATAGGCCGGCTGGGTGGACTGGTTCCAATGATAGTAATCATGAAGACAAGCATTATTAATAGAGTCTCCAGATATGGTAGGCAGGCAGGCGGGCGTGTCGCGCAGAATGCTGGTGGAACCGTGGACCGCGCCGGTTATGGTGTTCGCCAATGATGCCCAGTGGTAACCTGAAACAGAATACATCACTGCATTAGTGGATAAGCGACAGAAACGCTTCTGCCGGCCAAATCCCACATAGCTCTATTTCATAGAGAAGTCTGTGCTGTGAAAAGGACCCCAATTGGCTGCCGTGACCACTGTCACTGAACACAAACCGTCCCCGTCGGACGGAATCAGCGAGCGTCGTGGCAGCTCTGACTAGCCTCTCTCAGCGCAAAGTGGCTCAGCGACCCGGCTCTCTTCCAACTGAGCTGTGGGGATCGATGAATTAATTATCTTTCTAAGCGATTTAATGAAAACAATCTCGATTGATTACTCAGTTTCGAATGTGCCTGATTATGATAGAGTCACCGGGTAGATAAGAAAGCTAGTAATCATTGCTTTAACACAGGATAATCACTTCAAGCAAGCATAGCATAGTCATACTGGCTAATAAATGCCGTCATCACTTCATTGAGTGCGTTGGCTTTCCAAAACTAATGATTGTTCAACCTTGCAAGGATGCCAACTTGCCAGCTCCTTGCGTTGCATCCACAGATATCAAAGCCCGTCACAACAGTGCGCACGAACAAAGACCCAATTTACGCCAGACTCCACTGAAGCGCGCAATGTGCCAGTAATGACCTTGTGCCGTGTGTGTTCGCCGTTCTATTCCGTCTTCTGACCTACATTCGCAAATAATCCTCCTTCGAGACCACGCTGCCATCTCTCCTTCTCGTTTTTGCAACGGTATTGATTCTCTAGCTTCTTCGCGCCATGCGGTTTTTGCACACGGCAAAAAAGCTCGGATCAATACAGTGGCCGGCCGGCGCGAGCTGGCGAGGCCGGCGAGAGCTGCTGAAGCCCGCCGCGACTCGCCACCACCGGGGCACACAGCTGCAGCTCGGCACGGGCCGCGCAGAAACATGGATGCAATCAAGTGGTTAATATTGAGCATATGGCACTGATGGCCAAGGATTCATCAGGGATATATGCCGCGCAGGGCTTACGATTCATATGTTTGTGATATCTTGCTCCAAACTGAAAAAAAGATCTTACCAAACAACCCAGTGCCAGCTACAAAGTATTTTTAATATTCATATTTTTGTTGGAAATTTCATGAATGTCATCTGCAATTTTTCTTTTTCAACGTCGAAAGGTGTGCGTCCCGTTGCACCAGCAATGTTAAGTCATACCAGCAATGTTAGTCAAACCAACGCTATTGTTTTGTAGCAATGGCCTCGAGCGAGCCTAAGGATTTGACATATGACATCATTGACATTTCATTGAACATAAACAACGGTTTCGTAAGCGCGGTCCATAGCCTCTCATATAGCCATAAGCTCTGTAAGCGCGGTCATTCTGAGTATAAAAAGTACTGCGGCACAGTATAGCTGCAGGCGTTCCCCCACTGCCATCTAGCGGTAAAAGATGAAGGCAGCTGTCATTGCGGCACAGCATAGCGGCAGGCGTTCTGTTCCTGCCATCTAGCGGCAAAAGATGAAAACAATGTGCATTGCGGCACAGTATCACTGCAGGCGTTCAAGTGTTCACTGTTCAGTTATGCGTCTGCGTGGCGGTGGCCGATGGCAATACAAATCCCGCCGTTATATGACAATAGCTTACTGGCGCTGAAAAGAAAGTCACTAAATGAACTGTAATGCCGTTCCCTAGCTCTGCACTCTACATCAGCATTCGTCACCTGCTATTTGCAAAAAAGTTTTTTTTCTTTTGATCGGCTGTCTTTAGCTTAGGACATTCGAAACTTAATTTTATATAAATATCATAATAACGATTTCTGAAATAGTTATGCAGCTTGTAATAGTATTGAACACGGTCTGTGGTTGAAAGAGGGCCAAATTAGACCTCGTCTGCATTTTTTTTTTTTTTTGTCAGAGACCCCTGCATGTAGCCGAAAACGGAAAGAGGCACGGCAAGCACAACAATTAACTACAGGAGCAGAATGATAACCCAAGAATGAAATTGAATCATATCTTTTTGAAATCTTCATTCTTCCGGATACATTTACGAACACAAGACCCTCAGTTTCTTTACCAAGACACGGATCTTTTTTAATAATTAAATTAAAAATACAACTGGCGAATGAGCATATTACATGCCTATTGGCTACTCCGGGAAGGCTTAATGATGTGCTGCGCATTTTATTGCTGCTTTCGCTTATCTTCCTATAACATTGTCCTGCATGTTGCTTTGGTTGCTCGTTGGTCAAATGATTAGAGTAATGATAAGCCAAAAATTGAACGTTCATTATGAGCATGAATATTAGCCTTCAAACATGCTTTTAAATATCTCTGTTCAATGCAAAAAAACTAACTTCTCTGGAATGACCGTTTAACATCGCTGGTTAGAAGATGATGCAATACTGTGAGCGTCTCAAGATACGATCATGCTGAATGTATCCGCCTGATAAACATCAAGCAATATCCTATTAGCTCACTCCATCGCCATGCCATGCAGGTATGATGTAGGTCAGCATGACAGGCGTTCTTTGTGCCGCTCCTGGGCCATCGGCCAAAGAACCGCCCCCCGCCCCCGCCCCCGCCCCCGCCCCCTGTCCTCCACGCCTCCTGACACTGGGGTCGATGGCCTCGACAGCAAAAACCTTCACCTACCAAAAAACGGCAGCAAGAAACCTCTGCAAAAAGTGCGCCAGATCGAGGTCACTGACTGGGTGTGTAAGTCATATTTTCCGCCGCTGAAAATTCCGTCATAATAGCACAACGGACAGCGTGGTTAGATCGTGTGCCGTAATATCTTGCTGTTTGAGATGATGAAACGAAGGGACTCTGCCGCTTTCACTTTATAACGCGTTTGTTTGGTAATATTGCTGCGTTACATTCAGTTGTATTTGGTAAGAACAGCGATCACCGGAGCAATTACTGATGTTTCGCATCGGGCGCAAAAAGTGATAACGTACTGAACAGTGAACAGTAAAGCCCTGCCTGAAATAGATTACATCATCGATTCTGCACGTTTTGTTGAGGAAAGAGAATGAATGGGCCTCAGCAACAATTGACAAATGAACCAGGTACTTATATAAACGGGGCAGAAACTTTGCCATGTTACGCTTTTTCTTCATTTCTTACCGTATAACGCAGTAATGCGTAGGTGGCTCAAACACGAAGGGTTACCAAGAGCTCCTTTCGTAATATTTTGGTCCCGTGCCTATCTGTGCACCTTAGTTGTAATCGTGCACTCGAAACATGAATAATTTCACCAATAGGTACTCATTTTGCTCAGAACGGATCGTGCTTCCGATTTGATCTGACATAGGTACTCTGTAAACATTCATGATATCGATACGTTTGTATGTTCTGCATTCGTGGAAAGATAGCCACCACCCACCAGCATTGTAACTCTATCCAAGCTGTTCAATGATACAATGCAGCCTTTCTGCTCATGAAACCAAAATAGTCGGCCATGGCTGGCCATCGTGCCATGCCATGGATCTCCGCCATTTTTCTCCCGTCGGGCAAACTTCACGATTGGCGGAGCAGCTCTAAAAAATCCACCCACTCTAGCCTGGCCTAGCGGACGTCGGCCGTCGGCCAACGATTTTCCCCGGACGCCCCGCCCACCTTCGGCGTCACCGTCTTGTTGGCCAATCGGCGGGCCGGTCCGGCCGCCGGAAAAAATACACTCTCTGGCATCGCGTCCGGCCGGCCAATGAGGTCTGTGCCGGGCGGCGGCGCCGGAGACTGGCCGGATCAATACGGGCCTCAAATGCGCCGCGGAGCCGGTGGGCGGGCGGCGGGCCTCGCCCGGGCCTCCGCAGTGGTATTTACAGAGCTGATATTTATTAAATGTAGGTCTTTTGGGACCTTTTGCAAGGGTGACGGGAAACAATAATTGGCTCTCGTAAAAGCACGATGAATGGCGGTTTGATTTATTTCTTATTAAGCAACGGATTTATTGTGGTCTATGAATAAAATACTGTGAGAGCAAAAGGGGAAAATGAAATTACAACCAGTTATTTTCTTTATTAATTATGCATACCAGCAAGAGACAGGAAATGTGTGTAAGAGAAGGAGAGAGAGAGAGAGAGAGAGAGAGAGAGAGAGAGAGAGAGAGAGAGAGAGAGAGAGAGAGAGAGAGAGAGAGAGAGAGAGAGAGAGAGAGAGAGAGAGAGAGAGAGAGAGAGAGAGAGAGAGAGAGAGAGAGAGAGAGAGAGAGAGAGAGAGAGAGAGAGAGAGAGAGAGAGAGAGAGAGAGAGAGAGAGAGAGAGAGAGAGGTGCGAAGACAATTACATTCGAATCGTCTATTGTGCCATTACCTACATAATGCATGATTTCAATATTCAGCAGCAAATACACGTTTCAATACATTAGGTAGGTACCTACATGCAAGTCAGCCATGGAAATATCAAATCGCGACAAGCTATCGGTTCGACCAGATGCCTCGCCGAAGCAGCACGAATGCCACGGCATTCATGCTGCTTCAACTCGTAGGCGTCTCACAGTGCCCTGCCTTTTTACCGCGTCCACGTTTTGCCGCCTGCCCGACTGTGCCGCACGACACGAGAGCGCTGCGGCACAGCCTACCCAACTAAAAAATGGCTCCGGCCGCCGCGCAGGGACGCCGCGCGCTGTGGCCGTCTTCTGTAGCGACCGCGGGACTGTGAAGGAACTGCTCTTTGATTTGAAATGTTTGAAAATAATTAAAAATGCCCAAGGTGCGAAGACAATTACATTCGAATCGTCTATTGTGCCATTACCTACATAATGCATGATTTCAATATTCAGCAGCAAATACACGTTTCAATACATTAGGTAGGTACCTACATGCAAGTCAGCCATGGAAATATCAAATCGCGACAAGCTATCGGTTCGACCAGATGCCTCGCCGAAGCAGCACGAATGCCACGGCATTCATGCTGCTTCAACTCGTAGGCGTCTCACAGTGCCCTGCCTTTTTACCGCGTCCGCGTTTTGCCGCCTGCCCGACTGTGCCGCACGACACGAGAGCGCTGCGGCACAGCCTACCCAACTAAAAAATGGCTCCGGCCGCC